GTAGGAAAATTGCTTCTAATTAGATGGGAAAAGGCATAAAGTTATGGCATTTTCTGTAGTACGAACAATGTGGTTATCAAAGTAGCCGACGCTTTCTTTTCTTCAATAAGAAATTCCCCAAAAGATATAGTTTTTCAAGAGGTTGATTTTCATCGAGGGAGAGAGATTAAATTTCAAAAATCATACAAAATGAGGTACGCACGAAAACCGCGCCATAGCTGTTTCTTTGAAAGATAGTTGATATATTTACAATGTTCAAAGTCGCTTTAGTCTGTTTACGCGTTGATGTGGGCTGCAGCGCAGCGCAGCGCACTGTCACGGGCATAAGTAGCCGCCACAATGTATTGTTTAAGATAGTTGGCAAGTAGCTATTTTGTTTGCCTACTCAATGGGCAGAGACAAGCGTTTTGAACGACACAATGAGGGTTCGTACTAGGAAAAAAGGGGAAGAGGAGTCTCAAAGGGGAGTGAAAATGAAAATCGTCCAACAATGCGAATGTCTGACTATTGAGTTGATTATAGATCGCTTTGTGCCAGCATCATGTGGACGAACATTACCAGGGTCGTTATCATAGTTTATTTTCTTTATGGTTATACTCAAATATCCCACAAAACCTTTGAAACAGTTAATCATTCTTATCCACCAAGTAGTTCTGACCGAGTTTGCACTAACTTCTACAACTGCTGCAGTGTTAGTAGATGACAAAGGAAGCTAAAATTACTTGCAAATAGTTCTCTAGGTTGTGTCTGCAGTGTCCCTCTCTAAAGCTTAATTTAAAAGGTAGTTGACCACCAACTCTCAGCTTAAGGCAACACAAAAAGAAAGGAGTATGTCACCAATCAAATAAACCGCACGGCACGGAATGTATATGTTATTCGTGAGTAGTATTTCAAGCAGTACTCTAAATCAGTTTCCACGCGATTCCGTTTTGACCCTTGTCCACCTACCGTAACCCTAAGTATGTTCACGCGCAGATATTATGATATGATATGATTCTGTTCTAATTCCGTGTGTTGTCATAATTCATATTTAGAATCTCGCAGCCACTTGTTAAATCTTCGAAATCAATAAAAAACTTATTCTAAAAGCGATTCCGACAAAAAGCACAGTTACATCAATTTTTCAAAAAGTTTCTATAGACGTCAACTTGCGTTTTTTGATGAAAAAACGAAAAAGTTCAAAAATAAACAAACAACGATAAGGAAATTGTCATGAAAGTGCTAGCTTAACGACGAGTTGCAATACTCGCGATTTTTTGAAAATCCCCTCACTTAACCTCGTTGTTGTCGCTAGCTTCAAATTGAATTCATAAAGAAGAAGCCGCAACGGGTTTTTGTTCGACTATTGTCGTTGAATCTTTGCTTTAAAATTATTTTTAGATTACAATTTGCTGATCACTTAAACCTTGAAAATTCCCGCAACGTCAGTCGTACCATTTTCTTACTTACAAATCCTGCAACTTCAGAATTACTACTTCTTCTTTAGAATTGCTCCAGTTGGTCACAAGGTTTGGAACTAAAAATTTCTTTCAAACCCAAAACGGTAAACTAAATACTTTATTTGCTCTCCGAGTCAATCTAATGAATCTCAACACAATATTTAATAATCGAAGCAATCGCAATTACGAGATTCAAACAAATTACGCCGCTTTGCTCGTTGTTTCTACATTTTGTGCTTTTTTGCTGCTCCCCTCTTTATGAACGGCAACTTATCCAATCCCTTATATTGATGGATTTCTCGTTGTTGTAGAACACGTGTACTAATGATGATAATAGTAAAAGTTTAAGCCATATAGACATGCGCAAAGTACAACCATGAGATAAGGTCGGTAAATTCAATTCGGTCAATTTCGTAGTACAACGAAAAACTTTATTACTGTTTTGCTCCAGGCTCGAAAAGATTAGTAACTGATAAATATGATGGTCTAATTAATGATAATTCTCCTTTAG